ATATTTTATGAGAATATGAATAGAAAATAGTCGTTACATGCCCCAAGAAACTTCGAACTGCTTTAACATTGGAGGGTGGTGGCAGCTTCTCAATCACATCTGTCTTTGCTTGATCCACTTCTATTCTGTCCTTTAAAATTCTATGACCAAGCACTATTCCTTCCTAAACCATAGAGTGGCACTTCTCCCAATTGAGCACCAAGTTCGTCTCCTGACATTGCTGCAAAACAAAGGAGAGATTAGATAAGTCATTATCAAACGACGAACCTGATGAGAATGCAAAATGTCATATTTATCCCCCTTAATGTCTAGTCTTTTATACTTATTTGTTTCTTAAAATGTACTTATTATTATTATATTTTGATTTAGGAAACAAATGGGAGCGTTAATTGCAAAACGGAACTAATTAAGTGAATTCGGACAGTTTCGACATTGTTTCATAATTTGGGCATAACTCTCTCATCCGAGCTCCGCTTGAGATGATTGAAACTTCTGTGGAACCATTAGAAAGAAATCTAAAGCTTTCATGTTTTGAGTTTGGAGGGATACTCGCTGCATCAAGGTTGTAATCGGGATTGAAGTTGACGCACCTACACTGCCGACGTCGTGGAGCATTCTGCCTTGTCATGCAAATCAATTGGGCAGATTATTATTGGAAGATTTGAGGACATGTGGCATGCAAGTTACAGCTCAGAATCACACTTTCCTATTTTATTTTAGGACTTTATCTTATTATCAATTAATTAGAATTAAATTAGGATTAATGTTATTTTAGGATATTAGAATATTTCTTTTAGGAGATTTAGTGGGATTCAAATACTTGAACTGGATTTTTTTGTTAAGGGGAAGATTAGGGCTTTCGGGAAAAAACACACACGCCTCTCTCTGGTCTTCTCTGTAACTTCTCCTTTGGAATTTTCGTGATGGCCATGAGAGGCTAATTTTTATAACTTGGTCGAAGGAAACAGAGGCCTCGGAATCAATAACTGTGAGATCTAATCCGTTTTATTTCAGTGTTCAATTTCATGCTTTGAGTATTGGATGTTCTTCTATGCTTATTTTCATGATTGTTTCATTTAATTGCTAGGAGGCCTACTAGGTTATTATTTGGTACAATCTACTACTAAGTTAGATATCAAATCCGTAATTGCTTGATCCCTCTAACTTGTGAAGCAATTAGGGTTATTAATTTGCTGTGTCAGGAAGTAGTAATCTTAAGAGGAACACTCGACTAAATTAAATACAACCGCTTGAGTTTGTGTTGTTTAGCTTCATCGATCTCTCTAATTCTTAAGGCTGCCATTAGATTAAATCTTTAGCACTTGTCTAGGGTTGTTTAATGGTAAGATTAATTAAGATCGCTTGTTTCCCAATTAATTACAATTAAGAAGAGATAGGAAAATAGTTCCAACGGTGAATATTCAAAGTAAGAATTGATTTACTTTTGCATCAATGATNACAATGATAGTCCACTTAAGGTTATGGGAGAGGTGATGGGTCGTATTATACTTTAAATTAATCATACTTAAAATAATTATTTGATTAATTGTTGTAATGTTACTTCAACTTAGTTGTATAATATGGTTAGTCTTTATTAACTTAACCATATTGTGATTTATACATCTAATCAACACATCAACTAACTAAAAAAATACACCATTTTTTTCCTATATTTATTCTTCATCACTCAACCAAGATAATTAAGTACTAATTTATATATTAATTAGTACACTCTTAAGTTAAATTAAAACATCATCATTGATACGGTAAACTTAGCATATATATAGAGAGAGAGTAAATGACTTTTTCCCACCCAAGGTTTGTCTTAACGACACTTTCTCGTTCAAAAAGTTTCAAAATATCATTTTCTCACCCCAAGTTTATATTCCGTTAATATCCAAAATACATTTCACTTTTTCACCCAAAGTTCGATGAGTTACCAAGAACTAAGGTAAGAGAGGTTTTGTAGAGTAAAGGTCGGTGGATTGAATATTTGGCGTCGGAAATCAGTTAAGAATAAGAAACTCTAACTTTACAGTGACCGACAATCGACGAGAAATCAGATATCGGAGTGAAAGTAGTCTTGTGTAAAGAAGACATGGGGTTTAAATGGTGGTGACAAAGAGGGATTTCGCCATCGGCATCGTTCAGAATCGACTTTGGATAATAATAGAATATTAACTTTTGGTGGAAAAATGGTGTTTTGAAACTTTTTGAGTAAGAAATGTCATTAAGTCAAACCTTCCATGAGAAAAAGTCGTTTACTCTTATATATAAATCTTGTGATACAAATGATCCAATTATATTATTTGTCATATTGGGGACATATAATATAGTACATATTGTTTTTAAAATAAGATAAGATGAACGTGTGTGTCTCCATTTTTTTAAGCACATGCTCCCTTTCTTGTGAACTAGTTTGTTGGCATGTGTACCGATGACTATTTTGGTAACTTGGTGAATAAATACATAAATAAACACACATCTTTTTTACTTTGTCAATTGCAATATCATTTTATCATTAAGAATTAATAATTTAAATCCCACATTACAAATAATAATAATAATTTATCGATTTTAATTAAGTTAAATAATAGTGTTCCAATTACGTTTTACAACTTATTTAACCCAACAAAGATTTTCTTAGAACTTTTTATTTAAAAGACTAAATAATCATATTTTGAGTTCGAAAACAAACCAGTGTTGGATTACACATACCCTTTTAAGTCGTTGCTTGTTTTTAGATATACTATCAAATTGATAACATTATTGATCTTTATAAACAATTTAACGAATACACAAATCAATATATGTAACAAATTACCCTTATTTTAAAGGCCAATAACATTGTCCCATGATTATTAGGTTGAACCCTTTGAATAAAATGTCTCCAAATTCTGTATTCTCAATGTGTGAGTGGGTAAAGGGAGGATAACAATTCCATTCTTAAGGTTTGGTTTAACTATCCTTTAGTCTTGTAGAATTTTTAAGTAACATTTTAGTCCCTAGTGTCAGGTATCAGTAACGTTTTGGTCCCTATCATTTCCAAACTTTAGGGACCAAATGTGACTAACTCTAACAGAAACCAAAATGTTACCAAACAATTATACAAGACTAAAAGAAATTAAGCCAAAACCACAGGGATGAAATTGTCATTATCCCAAGTATAAGAGTACCAAAAAGCAACAAAAGGGGATCGCAGCAAGACATAAAAGTGACAGAGCAATGATACGGGTGTTAGATTACTAAATCCACATGTAACCAAACAAATTCAATGATTGATTAACGACTAATGACTAATGACTAATGGTTTATGATATATGATTAGATTAATAACCGACAATTAAAACCAATTAACAACTCATCTCATCTTAATTTTTTTTAATCAACCAATTATTTGGACCGATTTATGCGTATTTCAAATAATTTTTCAAGAATTATTAGCTGAGTAATAATTCCAATGGTTACCTTATTAGTAATTGATGATGGAATCGAATTTTAGACCTTTTGAATAATACACATAAAAATCTCTATCAAAACATTAGGTCACCCAGAGGTATTTCATCTAATTCTTCACCTTCACTCTCACCCTATAACTTTTATTTACAATATCTTGTAAGATGGTGGTTCATTATTTAAATTTTAATCTCTTTTTGTTTGTTAAGCTATGGCTATAGTGTGACATAATGAAAGTTGAAAATTTAGTGTTGTGGGCATGTGACTTAAGACACACTCAATAGTGTAATTGGTTTGAAAGTGATATAACATACCCACTAAGTGATGTTTATTTATACACACATATTTGGTTGCTTAATTGCTTTGCCCACTTGATAATAACCTTACCACAATTATCTTCCTTCTCCTTTTCACTTCAACCCCACTTTTCAACACTAGTGAATGCTACTTTCTACTTTTTTCTTAAACCCCGTATTCTTAAGTTTGATTCATATCAGAAATTGAAATGCACTAACTTAATCGGAACTCCTTGTTTTTTTCGTGGGTAACCATAAATTCTCCGCATTTGCTTTGCAAATCTGAGTTTGAAACTGGAGTTCCTGCTGAACTTACAATCTTTGAAAAACGGAAAATAATGACTTTTGAACATGTGAGTGCCCATGATTAAAATGTGGTTTATGATTCAATTAGGTTGGCAATGGATTTTCTTAGAACCAGAGATTCTATCTTTATTGTTTCCTTTTCTAAAGAATAGAGGAACTTTTGAGGGAGCTATCCCTAGCCCACTTGTCAATTGAGATTTTATAAATTACAAGCTTTAGCACATGCTTCCCACTATTTTCATTCTATTCTTTGGCACATTTGAGAAGAGATGGATACCATACCACACTACAAAAGTTAAATTGCGTGAGAAGCAAACGAAAATTACAACAGTTGGACAATTCAGAAAAAAAGCAAATACAAGCCAAAGTGACTGCTATGATCCAAAACCAACCTGCTTCTTGACTAAGATTTCTTCCTTTTTAAGCTGTTTCTAGCTGCACCCTTTTGGTTTCTTTTCAAACATAGATCAGTTCCTTTTATCATTTAAGCATTGAACTGTCATGTCCTAAAGGAAAAAATAGCATCCAAAGTTTCAACATAAAATATCTCACCAATGGATATATTTCACCTGCAACTTATTCAATTATGCGATGTAAAGCTGAAGAGTACGGATCCTATTCCTTCACTGTTATCTGATATATGGAAACATTATAAGCGAATTAACATTATGCTCATATAGTTTTTTACATATGTGAAAACATAGTGAAAAGTTGAGCCATTTGATCTTGTCAATGAAGAAAAGAAAAGAAAAAATATATTTTCTTGGTATGCAGACAAGAAGATAATGTTGAAAGAACAAATTAATAACATGCATCAATTTCATGAAGACTATTAACATGGTAGAAGGAAACAGGCTAATAACTATTTTTGCAACTATAAAAATTCTAAAAGTCCTCCACTTTTACACAGACAGAGTTGACAGTTGATTAGCCTTGAAACAGCATAATGAGCATTAGACCTTAATAAAGTTCATTAATTTAAAAAAGTAAGAATTATCTTAACATGGAATAACCAATTCACAGTGGAATTCCTTCATTGAAAGTTTTAAGCTGGTGGAGGAAGCAAAGGTGAGCCATCAGGCTGTGGACTATTTGGAGGTGTCAGCTTTGGAATGTAAGGCATGACAGGAGTGCCATGCTCAATAGGTCCAGATGTTATCGCAGCTGATGACCTTGGAGTTGGATCAACGGGTTGGTAATCCTCCAAGTTCATGTGGTCCTGGTTAATTTTACTCCGAGTATTGCTTCCCTCCTGGACTTGGGAAATTAAGTAAGAAAGACTGTCAAAAGAAATTAGAACTACATTTGGATGCCATGAAGATAGACCCTTCGTCTCAGCATAGTAATGGAGAATATATGAAAATAAAAGTGTACCGTCGGTTCACTGACTGATGTAATTGCTGTCACACTATGGCCACTGATGAAGGAATTCATATCTGTGATCATTCAAAAAATGTACATACATTTACTTAGAATATAGACATTACTGGGATATGTATTTGCCAAATCAAAGTTTTAAGTGTACACAAGATATAAATGGCAAGACTTTATTGATTTGACATAATCAGCCATTATCCAATGTCAAATTTGGCATGAAAATCCTGGCTATCTTACCGTTGTTGATTAAATAACTTAGTTTAATGGGAAAGTCATATGAAACTTTAGCATGTAGAAGGGTTACAGGATAGCTCAGAGAGAATGTTTGACGCTCAACTTCCATTTCTCTGATGATAATTAACCTCTAATTTGATGTGATGTTCTGTACAGTGTGAAAGCATAAAATATGATAAGGTTGGTGATAATGTGCTTATTGCTTCAAAAGCACAATAGTGTGCCATAATTGGCAAGGGTTACATCATGTACATAGCCTAGCATTTGCGTTCATGAATGAAGGTTAAGTTTCCTATATATAGAAAGTTTGATCCCCACTCTCAGTTATAAAGCAAAGAAGTAAAGGTTCCATGTGCAAGCCCAGAATTAGTGTCAACAACCAGATAAAAGTTTCCTTTATATAGCAAGTTAGACCCTACACTCGAATTATTAAAGCAAGACATTGTCTTAGTTGTTTGATGTTAATGTTATTACTTTAACAGGCGAGGCACGAGCAAGTTTGGAGCATTATTTTCTGGGAAAACAAAGTGAACAAAACCATAATAGAATTTGAAGCAGGAAGCAAAGAAGTGATAAAAAGAGTTACCATGAGTAGAAGAAGCATTGATAATCAGGAACACACAGGTTGCCTCAGCCACCAAGAACAGAACCCAGAACTTAATCATTTTCGTGTTTGTAAAAGCACTCACTTAAGAAATATAAATGCTGTTTTTTTCCTGGGATGGAAATGGGTTTCTTTGCCTCTCTGTAACTGTGAAGTAAGGAAATAGAGAGAGAGAGTTGGTGCTTGTAGTAAAGAGAGGCGTGAAGAGCAATAAGTTTATATCTGATGGAAAGTGAGCCCATCTGAAACTTCGAAGACAGTGAAGAATTAATAGCAGTCAGGATTAAACACTGAACTGGGCACCTTGGACTCTCTGCGATTTCACTGTCTTCACTGCCAATAATTGTACAATGGATACGGGTGTTAGATTACTAAATCCACATGTAACCAAACAAATTCAATGATTGATTAACGACTAATGACTAATGACTAATGGTTTATGATATATGATTAGATTAATAACCGACAATTAAAACCAATTAACAACTCATCTCATCTCAATTTTTTTTAATCACCCAATTATTTGGACCGATTTATGCGTATTTCAAATAATTTTTCAAGAATTATTAGCTTAGTAATAATTCCAATAGTTACCTTATTAGTAATTGATGATGGAATCGAATTTTAGACCTATAGAATAATACACATAAAAATCTCTATCAAAACATTAGGTCACCTAGAGGTATTTCATCTAATTCTTCACCTTCACTCTCACCCTATAACTTTTATTTACAATATCTTGTAAGATGGTGGTTCATTATTTAAATTTTAATCTCTTTTTGTTTGTTAAGCTATGGCTATAGTGTGACATAATGAAAGTTGAAAATTTAGTGTTGTGGGCATGTGACTTAAGACACACTCAATAGTGTAATTGGTTTGAAAGTGATATAACATACCCACTAAGTGATGTTTATTTATACACACATATTTGGTTGCTTAATTGCTTTGCCCACTTGATAATAACCTTACCACAATTATCTTCCTTCTCCTTTTCACTTCAACCCCACTTTTCAACACTAGTGAATGCTACTTTCTACTTTTTTCTTAAACCCCGTATTCTTAAGTTTGATTCATATCAGAAATTGAAATACACTAACTTAATCGGAACTCCTTGTTTTTTTCGTGGATAACCATAAATTCTCCGCATTTGCTTTGCAAATCTGAGTTTGAAACTGGAGTTCCTGCTGAACTTACAATCTTTGAAAAACGGAAAATAATGACTTTTGAACATGTGAGTGCCCATGATTAAAATGTGGTTTATGATTCAATTAGGTTGGCAATGGATTTTCTTAGAACCAGAGATTCTATCTTTATTGTTTCCTTTTCTAAAGAATAGAGGAACTTTTGAGGGAGCTATCCCTAGCCCACTTGTCAATTGAGATTTTATAAATTACAAGCTTTAGCACATGCTTCCCACTATTTTCATTCTATTCTTTGGCACATTTGAGAAGAGATGGATACCATACCACACTACAAAAGTTAAATTGCGTGAGAAGCAAACGAAAATTACAACAGTTGGACAATTCAGAAAAAAAGCAAATACAAGCCAAAGTGACTGCTATGATCCAAAACCAACCTGCTTCTTGACTAAGATTTCTTCCTTTTTAAGCTGTTTCTAGCTGCACCCTTTTGGTTTCTTTTCAAACATAGATCAGTTCCTTTTATCATTTAAGCATTGAACTGTCATGTCCTAAAGGAAAAAATAGCATCCAAAGTTTCAACATAAAATATCTCACCAATGGATATATTTCACCTGCAACTTATTCAATTATGCGATGTAAAGCTGAAGAGTACGGATCCTATTCCTTCACTGTTATCTGATATATGAAAACATTATAAGCGAATTAACATTATGCTCATATAGTTTTTTACATATGTGAAAACATAGTGAAAAGTTGAGCCATTTGATCTTGTCAATGAAGAAAAGAAAAGAAAAAATATATTTTCTTGGTATGCAGACAAGAAGATAATGTTGAAAGAACAAATTAATAACATGCATCAATTTCATGAAGACTATTAACATGGTAGAAGGAAACAGGCTAATAACTATTTTTGCAACTATAAAAATTCTAAAAGTCCTCCACTTTTACACAGACAGAGTTGACAGTTGATTAGCCTTGAAACAGCATAATGAGCATTAGACCTTAATAAAGTTCATTAATTTAAAAAAGTAAGAATTATCTTAACATGGAATAACCAATTCACAGTGGAATTCCTTCATTGAAAGTTTTAAGCTGGTGGAGGAAGCAAAGGTGAGCCATCAGGCTGTGGACTATTTGGAGGTGTCAGCTTTGGAATGTAAGGCATGACAGGAGTGCCATGCTCAATAGGTCCAGATGTTATCGCAGCTGATGACCTTGGAGTTGGATCAACGGGTTGGTAATCCTCCAAGTTCATGTGGTCCTGGTTAATTTTACTCCAAGTATTGCTTCCCTCCTGGACTTGGGAAATTAAGTAAGAAAGACTGTCAAAAGAATTAGAACTACATTTGGATGCCATGAAGATAGACCCTTCGTCTCAGCATAGTAATGGAGAATATATGAAAATAAAAGTGTACCGTCGGTTCACTGACTGATGTAATTGCTGTCACACTATGGCCACTGATGAAGGAATTCATATCTGTGATCATTCAAAAAATGTACATACATTTACTTAGAATATAGACATTACTGGGATGTATTTGCCAAATCAAAGTTTTAAGTGTACACAAGATATAAATGGCAAGACTTTATTGATTTGACATAATCAGCCATTATCCAATGTCAAATTTGGCATGAAAATCCTGGCTATCTTACCGTTGTTGATTAAATAACTTAGTTTAATGGGAAAGTCATATGAAACTTTAGCATGTAGAAGGGTTACAGGATAGCTCAGAGAGAATGTTTGACGCTCAACTTCCATTTCTCTGATGATAATTAACCTCTAATTTGATGTGATGTTCTGTACAGTGTGAAAGCATAAAATATGATAAGGTTGGTGATAATGTGCTTATTGCTTCAAAAGCACAATAGTGTGCCATAATTGGCAAGGGTTACATCATGTACATAGCCTAGCATTTGCGTTCATGAATGAAGGTTAAGTTTCCTATATATAGAAAGTTTGATCCCCACTCTCAGTTATAAAGCAAAGAAGTAAAGGTTCCATGTGCAAGCCCAGAATTAGTGTCAACAACCAGATAAAAGTTTCCTTTATATAGCAAGTTAGACCCTACACTCGAATTATTAAAGCAAGACATTGTCTTAGTTGTTTGATGTTAATGTTATTACTTTAACAGGCGAGGCACGAGCAAGTTTGGAGCATTATTTTCTGGGAAAACAAAGTGAACAAAACCATAATAGAATTTGAAGCAGGAAGCAAAGAAGTGATAAAAAGAGTTACCATGAGTAGAAGAAGCATTGATAATCAGGAACACACAGGTTGCCTCAGCCACCAAGAACAGAACCCAGAACTTAATCATTTTCGTGTTTGTAAAAGCACTCACTTAAGAAATATAAATGCTGTTTTTTTCCTGGGATGGAAATGGGTTTCTTTGCCTCTCTGTAACTGTGAAGTAAGGAAATAGAGAGAGAGAGTTGGTGCTTGTAGTAAAGAGAGGCGTGAAGAGCAATAAGTTTATATCTGATGGAAAGTGAGCCCATCTGAAACTTCGAAGACAGTGAAGAATTAATAGCAGTCAGGATTAAACACTGAACTGGGCACCTTGGACTCTCTGCGATTTCACTGTCTTCACTGCCAATAATTGTACAATTCGAGAAAACAATTCATTTCGGTGTGTATTGAATTTATTTGCAGCCTACGATACATTTTAACACTTAGGGTGGCCATAGTTAACATAACCGTGTAAAAAGTTTCAGATAGCATATGTTTCCTATTCCTTTGAAACCTTTGATAATGTCAATTTCCAAGAGCAACTTCCTCCTATTGAGTATGTTATGGCTGGCAACATCATTCCACCACAATCCGTGAAAAATAGCTTAAACTCTTTAACAATAGTAGGCATCTGAAAACCAACTAAGATAATTTTTTAACAATAACCAAACAGTTACTGAAACATTACGTTTCAGCATACTCGGCGGGCGCATCTCCAATCTATGATGTACTGGTTGCAATTGACTATCTACCATTTATTAGGACGCATCACCACATCCAAATACTTTCGGCTCCAAAAACATTTGTAAACAGCTGCCCCCTCCACGCAAAAATGATGGCTGCAAGTACTACAAAAACTTCGACTCTTATTGCCTTTTGCAGAACAGAACAAAAAGCAAATTTCTTATTTGATCATATAAAAGGTCAGTAATGAAATGGCCACTGCAATTTTCTTACCTGAATACTAGGATTTAATTATCCACATCATACGGTCCCTGCTTTCATTTTTCATGAGAGATTTTATTTGTGAATAGGTTGCCCTCTGCTCCTAAGTAATTCGAATAGAGCCACTTGCGAGTAGCTCGGACTCGGCTTGAGTAGAGCCTCAGCTCGAGTGGCTCGAGTATCGATTTGAGTCGAACCCGAGCTACCCATTACTGGGCTCGAGCAACTCGACAAGGGATATATGCAAGTTTTGCAACTACGAGATAGGTATATGTAATTTTTCATTTTCCCAATTCTAAAATCCAAATTGTATGAATTGATACCCTAAATCCCATTCCCATTTCAATTCTGAAATCACGATTGATCCTCTCCCAATTCACCACGACTTCGACGACTAAGATAAGCGACTTTGACAACTAAGATAACCGAATCCGCCAACCCAATGACCATGGTACTTGCACTTTTCTAAGTCTTTTTCTTATTCTCCTGAACTGTACATGTATATATGTTGCATAATGTTAATCCAACATTACTATTCTATTACTTATCACCCTTATTGAAGCCATTTTAAGATTTTTCTTAAACTAAGAATTGGTTGCTGGAAATGAATATTTTGTGTTTGGAAAAAGGTCTCACCCAACTGCCCACCATCTGTTTGGAAAAAGACCTCACCCAGCTGCCCACCACCTGTTCGGAAAAAATCCCCAACCGGTTACAGCCACACCCGCTAGACACCAGCATGTAATGAAATAAGATTTTTATTAATTAATAATTAATGAAAGAATTTTGCCTTTTTTTTTTTTTTGCTTTTTGATCTCAAGCTACCCAAGGCTCGATTACACCCCCAGATTTTACTCCTAAGCATAACTTTGTCATTCATTTCAACCAATGTATCATCACTACTTTTTTTTTTAGGGATAATGGCCAGTAGAGAAGAAAATAAATTGTAACATAAAAAACGATAACCTTTTCAATTTAAAAGAGTAATGACAAATATTCTTAGTTCAACAATCACATCAAACTCAACTTCAAATCAATTAAAAACATAAAATCATATTAGCGTTCCTCCATATTTTAAACCACTACTGGGACAAACTTGCACCAAAACCACTATCATACTACTCGAACAAAAGTCACCACTCTTCTTGGTAATACTCTTTTAATCCTTTAGCGGTACTGCAAATAAATTTTCAGAGAATCAGAGCAACCCCAATGAATAAAAGGAATCAGTATGATGCATAAATTAAAAACCACATTATCAGCAGAATACTTCTAAATTGTGACCTTAATGAATCCAATTTCCTTGGCATTGCTACGGAAGCACTGTCTGCAGCACATGAGCCCATACTTCCTGATCAACCCATGAGGGTTCCCACATACACGGCTACAAATTTAAATGGAAAAATCAGAAAACATAAATCTTCAGAATCCTATGCATAAAAGGTATCCAACACTAAGCAAGTTATAATAAGAGTGATGAACCATACTAATGAATGTGCAAATTCTTTCTAGAATCTTCTACCAATGAAATTTTCTATGAAAGAATAATGTAAAACTGATGCTTAACCTAATGAAATAATAGATTTACCAAGCAAATATCAAATAGGAAACTCTATACACAGAATAACATATAACATAAAACATACAAAAATCATAAAAAACACAGAACACCAGTTGCCAATCAAACCAGTTCAGTATCCAGAGGAAAAATTTGTAATCCAAAAAGGTAAAGGTCACGCAACAATAACTCATAATGAACAAACCAGTTGACAGTTTCAAAAGTACTTTATGACTTAACTGGTATCACCCTATAAGCAAGCTTATTCCATTTTAGCTGTTCAAGATGAATACAGTATTGCGGAGTGAATGCTTTACTTTCTACATCATACATGAATTTCAAATATTCAATTAACAACTAAATGCAACCCCAACATTATGAAATCAATCTCATATTGACAAATATATAAATTATAATAATAATAGAAAAAACACCAATTAAGCCCCATTGAGGCACCTAACTAAGTGGAAGCTGAGCATTGACTTAATCAGAAAGCTAAAAATCAATCTTAAAACACTAATACCACAAATTAACGATCAGACTTTGCAAAAAGAGAAAAACCAAAACAATTAGATTATGCATAATATTTGCATCAGCAAAACCAATGGTCATTCTCAGTTCTACAATCAAACAATAAAAACACAAACAAACAACAGGATTTGAACAGATAAATATATTTGTTTTCCTCATATTCTCAAACTTAAAGATATCAAAATGAAAAAAATGAAAACTTTCTATTACCAAGTACGAGAACCAGGGCCGTAGCTCTTGGGGTGAGAATTCCAAACGTTAGAATGACCCATGATTGACTCTTGCTACTTCAACAATGTCAAGGGCAGCTGCGCAGAGAGCTTAAGAAAACCCTAGAAATTTGCTGAGGAGATTAACGTTTGTACAAAAGTGGATATTTATATGGATGTTCTAAACCCTAGAAATCTATCGTGAACCTGGTGCGTATTGCGCGTATCTAAATACAGTGACGTGGCTTGTAATTGTAATTAGGCCGCACTTTTGTCATCCGAGCCAGCCCAAATAGTTTAGCCCGTTAATTGACACAACACGGCCCATTAGGTTCCAATAAATACATCTGTAATTTACCTGAAACGCTACGTTTCGGGTCTGAAGAGCCCAAAACAAAGACGACATCTCGTTGTAGCCTTGTTGAAGAGGAAACGTTTGTGAGAGCTCTAACATTCTGTGCCAGTGGCGAACCAAGAAACCTCTTCTTCTACTCCGCTGGTAAATTCGGTGTTGTTTTAGATGAAATACGTCAGTGTTTTGAATGAGTTATCGTTATATTTGATTTGAAGTGATTTTTTCGTTGCAGGGAATTTTTGTCGAAGAGGAGTATCAGTCGTTAATGTTTGAAGCCGAATCGGGCTGGGTTGAAGCTGGGGCGTCGTGTGATCACTTAGCCTCGCTGTCGTCTGATCTCGCCCACATACCAACTCCTGATACACCCTGCAACAGGTTAGCTCTATTATTTATTATCATTTTTTAAATGACATCAAGTTAGCGAGGCATTTACTCTGGAGAAAAAATTATAGATTGGAATTTTTATTTGCCTTTTGTAACATATGGAATATATGGGATGTACAAGGTGCGACCACCAGAGTGAAAACTGGTTATGTTTGAGCTGCAAGGATGTGCTTTGCAGCCGTTATGTGAACAAGCATATGCTTCAGCATTTCCAGCAAACTAACCATTCTGTAGCGCTCAGTTACAGGTATGAACAAACATCCTTTATTCTTTTTTAATTCTTTTTTGTTTTATATTTCTGAAGTTCTGTGGACACATTTTTTTTTTTTTTTGGTTGGGAAGCAGTGATTTGTCTGTTTGGTGTTTCATCTGCGACGCATATTTGGATGCTAAAGTGAACTCACAACTGCGACCTGTTTACGAGACTGCTTACATATTGCAATTTGGTAAGGCGGCACCGTTTCAATCGGGCTGCGTGGAAGCTCAGACGTCGTGTGTTCACTTGGCCTCGCTATCGTCTGATCTCGCCCACATACCAACTCCTGATACACCCTGCAACAGGTTAGCTCTATTATTTTATTACCATTCTTTAAATGACGTCAAATTAGTGAGGCGTTTACTCTGAAGTTAAAAATTTGAGATTGGTATTTTTATTTGCCTTTTGTAACATATGGAATATTTGGGATGTATAAGGTGCGACCACCCAAGTGAAAACTGGTTATGTTTGAGCTGCAAGGATGTGCTTTGCAGCCGTTATGTGAACAAGCATATGCTTCAGCATTTCCACTAAACTAACCATTCTGTAGCGCTCAGTTACAGGTATGAACAATCATCCTTTATCCTTTTTGAATTCTTTTTTTATATTTCTGAAGTTATGTCGAAACATTTTTTTTTTTTTTTTTGTTGGGAAGCAGTGATTTGTCAGTTTGGTGTTTCATCTGCAACGCATATTTGGATGCTAAAGTGATTTCTCAACTGCGCCCTGTTTATGAGACTGCCTACATACTGAAATTTGGTAAGGCGGCACCGTTTCAATCGGGCTGGGTGGAAGCTCGGACGTCCTGTGATCACTTGGCCTCACATCATCTGACCTCGCCCACATACCAGTCCCTGATTCACCCTGCAACAGGTTAGCTCTATTATTTTATACATTCTTTAAGTTAGCGAGGTTTTACTCTGGAAAAATTTGAGATTGGAATTTTATTTGCCTTTTGTGTCATATGGAATTTTGGGATGTATAAGGTGCAACCACCCAGTGAAAACTGGTTATGTTTGAGCTGCAAGGAGTGCTTTGCAGCCGTTATGTGAACAAATAGCTTCAGCATTTCCACCAAACTAACCTTCTGTAGCACTCAGTTACAGGTATGAACAATCATCCTTTATTCTTTTTGAATCTTTTTTTATATTTCTGAAGTTATGTGGAAACATTTTTTTTTTTATGTGTTTTGTTTGTTGGAAGCAGTGATTTGTCAGTTTGTGTTTCATCTGCAATGCATATTTGGATGCTAAAGTGATTTCTCAACTGCGACCTGTTTATAGACTGCCTACATACTGAAATTGGTAAGGCGGCACACGTTTCAATCGGGCTGGGTGGAAGCTCGGACGTCCTGTGATCACTTGGCCTCACTATCGTCTGACCTCGCCCACATACCAATCCCTGATTCACCCTGCAACAGGTTAGCTCTATTATTTATTATCATTCTTTAAGTTAGCGGTATTTACTCTGGAGAAAAATTTGAGATTGGAATTTTTATTTGCCTTTTGTATCATATGGATATTTGGGATGTATAAGGTGCAAACCACCCAATGAAAACTGGTTATGTTTGAGCTGCAAGGATGTGCTTTGCAGCCGTTATGTGAAACAGCATATGCTTCAGCATTTCCACCAAACTAACCATTCTGTAGCGCTCAGTTACAGGTATGAACAATCATCCTTTATTCTTTGAATTCTTTTTATATTTCTGAAGTTATGTGGAAAAATATATTTTTTTTTTTTTGTTGGGAAGCAGTGATTGTCAGTTTGGTGTTACATCTGCGATGCTATTTGGATGCTGAAGTGATTTCCAACTGCGACCTGTTTATGAACTGCTTCCATACTGAAAATCTGGTAAGGCGGCATGATTTCAATCGGGCTGGGTGGAAGCTCAGACGTCGTGTAGCACTTGACCTCGCTATTGTCTGATCTCGCCCACATACCATCCTGATACACCCTGCAACAGGTTAGCTCTATATTTATTAACATTCTTTAAGTGACTTAAAATACGAGGCATTCACTCTTAAGAAAAAATTTGAGATTGAAATTTTTATTTCCCTTTGTAACATATGGAATAGTTGGGATGTATAAGGTGTGACCACCCGAGGGAAAACTGGTTATGTTTGAGCTGTAAGGATGTGCTTTGCAGCCGTTTGGTGACAAGCATATGCTTACACTTCCACCAAACAAACCATTCTGTAGCGCTCAGTTACAGGTATGAACGAACTTTTATTTTTCTTTTTCTAATTCTTTTTTGTCTTATATTTCTGAAGTTATGTGGAAACATTTTTTTTGTTGGGAAGCAGTGATTGTCAGTTGTTGTTTCATCTGCGATCCATATTTGATGCTCAAGTGATTTCCCAACTGCGACCTTTTTGTGGGACTGCTACATACTGAATTTGGTGAGTGTCACCGTTCGGACGGCTGAACTTACCAAGGTGAAAGATGATCAACTGAGGCTAAATCGTTAGACGTTAAATATTAGTTTTGGTTTTGTAGTTTTACTTAATGTATCTTTGGTGTTGAATGGACATGGTTTGACTTTCAGATTTCTGATTGATTACCTAAAGCTATGCAATGAGAAGCATTTCAGTGTACTGTAAATTTATGATTGATATATCATGTCAAGACTCAAGTATTATATGATTTGCCTTTCTGAAAGTTAGAATTGCTGTGCACTACTAATAGCTACTTCCCAGCGGCATGCATGCAGCATAACAACTTCATTAGGGATCAGCCTTACAAGGATCCTTCTATTTCAAATTACATGCAAGTCAACATAAGCTAATTTGAGAAAGTTTGACGAATATAAATGTGGTGCAGTCAATGTGGTTTTATATATACATGAACAAGTAATTTGAAGTACAGTATTATCACTCAGGGAGACATTCCTAGAGTTTAAAGTGAATTTCCAATTTTTTTTTTTTTTTTTTTTGTTGAAATTTAGTATTTGGCTATTTCAATATGCCTATTCCCAAAAATTTGTGGCTCCCTGTAGATCGGATGCGAGTTGCTCACAGTCCAGCTTGCCCCACCTGCATCAACTCGCTCGCAGAAAACCAATTTCCCCCAGGCTTGTTTAAATTACCCATGTTTAACGGACACAAATATGTGAAAATGAGTACCTACATACCGTTGTTAGTGGAGTGACAATGGTATATATGCATACGAAAGAACAAAATTCAGTGTGAGAGTGTCAGATCTCTTACAGCATCTTTTGTTGCCTTGTCGGATTTTCTGGATACTGTGAGAACAGCAACAAAGTTCCAAAATATATTGTTACACAAAAAGTTATTTAGGTGCGTATCGCGCATACCTAAATAGAGTGACGTGGCTTGTAATTGTAATTGAGCCAGCCCAAATAGTTTAGCCCGTTAATTGACACAACACGGCCCATTAGGTTCCATAAATACACTGGTATTTACCTGAAACGCTACGTTTCGTCGGAGAGCCCAAAAACAAAGACATATCTCGTGTGGCCTTGTAGAAGAGGAAACGTTGTGAAAGCTCCAACATTCTGTGTCAATGGCGAACCAAGGAACCTCTTCTTCTACTCCGCTGGTAATTTCGGTGTTATTTTAGATGAAATACTCAGCGTTTGGGATGAGTTATTCGTTATATTGATTTTTTTTTTTTTTTTTTTCAGGAAATTATGTTGAAGGGAGGTGATTCGTTATGTTTGGAGCCGAATCGGGCTGGGTGGAAGCTCGGACTGTCGTGTGATCACTGTCCTCGCTGTCGTCTGATCTCGCCCACATACCAACTCCTGATACACCCTGCAACAGGTTAGCTCTATTATTTATTATCTTCTTTAAATGACAAAATTAACGAGGCATTTACTGTGAAGAAAAAAAATTGAGATTGGAATTTTTATTCCCTTTTGTAACATGGAATAATTGGGATGTATAAGGTGCGACCACCCAGTGAAAACTGGTTATGTTTGAGCTGTAAGATGTGCTTTGCACCGCTTTGTGAACAAGCTATGCTTCAGCTTTCCACCAAACACCATTCTGTAGCGCTCAGTTACAGGTATGAACGAACATTTCTTTTCTTTTTAGTTCTTTTTTTGTTTTCTATTTCTGAAGTTACGTGGAAACATGTTTTTTCGTTGGGAAGCAGTGATTTGTCAATTTGGTGTTTCATCTGCGACGCATATTTGGATCTCAGATTTCACAACTGCGACCTGTTTTGAGCCTACTTACATACTGAAATTTGGTGAGGCGCCACCTTTTCGGACGGCTGAACTTACCAAGGTGAAAGATGATCAGCTGGGGCTAAATCGAGAGACAGTTAAATATTAGTTTTGGTGTGTAGTTTTACTTAATTTTCCTATGTTGGGATTGCGGTTGGAGTGGACATGGTGTATAATACAGAATGAGAAGCATTAGTGTAGTGTAATTGTTATGATTGATATATCATGTCAAGTAGTATTGAATTTTGCCTTTCTGAAAGTTAGAATTGCTTGTGCACCTACTAATAGTTACTTCCAGCGGCATGCATTGCAGCATAACAACTTCATGAGGGATCACCTTACATGGATCCTTCTTTTCAAGTCAACATAAACTATTTGATCAAAGTTTGACGAAATAAAATATGGTGCAGTCAATGTGGTCTTCTATATCCCGAACAAATATACAATATTATCACCGGGAGACATTCCTAGAGTTTGAGGTGTCATTCCATTTTTTTTTTTTTTTTTTTTTTTTAATTTAGTATTGCATTTCATGTCTATCCCAAAAATTTGTGGCTCCCTGTAGATCGCATGCACGTTGCTCACAGTCCAGCTTGCCCCACCTTGCATCAACTCGCTCACAGGGGAAAACCAATTTACCCAGGCTGTTTAAATCACCCAATGTTAACACTAATTTGATTCAGTTCAATATAATTAGGTTCATAATATAGTATAAAACTTGATCTGAGAACAAAAAAATTTCATCACTAAAGAATGAGACTGTGAGTTACCTTCTATTAACCACATTATGCACATGACATAGCCACTGAGAGAACTCATAATGAGATCCGCCTGTACAGGATTTGCTCTGTCATAGGGACCCAAATATGCATCCATTAGTATAAAAAATGAAGGTAAAAGGTATTATATTACAGCCCTGTTTCGCAACCATAAAAACTAGAACTCTAAATTTCACTTTTTTCAGAATTTAAAGACCTCGACTGATTGTTTAAAGAGATGTGCAGCAAATTTCAGATGTCTGTCAACTAATATAATTTTGATAAAACTATAAAGAAAAAAATATTCGATTTTTTGAGAAATATCATGAGTTTTGAGTGTCTGAGCAAAATATTATTACCTCCGTGTTCTTGTTTTTCATCATTTCCTTTAATTCCTAAAGATAAAAATGTTTTGTGGGGTTGAATTGTGGTTATCTGAAAGAAAATACTCACATCTATGACTGTAAACCCAGTTGAGAGGGAGAGGAAAGAGACTGTACCTTAGGACTTCTTTAAAGTGATCTGCACAATCTTTGCAAGGGTATATTCGAGATAAAATTGCCATCTGCAAGCCAATATGATCCCTTCAGTTAGTCTTTAGCAATGGGACAATCAGTCTAAATTATTAAATCCAGTTTGATCTCATATATAGTTTATAAGTGCCAAGTCAAAAAAATTGAACACGAGAATAATGTCCAATAAAATGAATCTTTCTAAACTTGACCTCAGCATCAGTGCTGACTGCTGAGGTCAATGACATCATGCTCTACAGAATTGGCCCATTTTTGCCCCAAACCTGAAAGACCCCACTTGTGCTACACCACTACTTTATGCTGTCTAAGGGTTTTAAGATAACCTTCCACATGAACTTATTCTTAGTTCTTCAAGCCAGTTCACCAGAAGCTTACTGGCATCACGAACTGCTTTCACTGCGACTTGTAATTCCACAAAAGCTTCAATGCTCCTCTTTATCTTTCTTGTTGAAGCCTAATTTTTAAATCTTTTTGGCTTCTTTTTCCTCCTCCATGTTATTGGAGTGACAAGTAATATATGCATACAAAGAACGAAATTCAGTGTGAAAGTGTCAGAGATCTCTCATACCAGTTCTTTTACATCCTTCTTTTGTTGCCTTGTTGGATTTTCTGGATACTGAGAACAGCAACAAAGTTAATAAAAAAAATTTCTAATTTGCACAAGCAATAACATAATTCATAATTAAAAAAGATATGATTATGATGTGATTATATCTTCACTGGGAGTGAAGCTGCATTAGGAATTTTCCCTTCAGCTTACACTGATGCTGTTTTGAAAGCAGTGTTTGATTGGGTGGAAGAACTAAACTAGACTTAGGGAAAACATTCTTCATTAATAATATAATATAACAATCTTCTAAGATTAGGAAATAAGTATTGCACTTAAAAAAATAAATTTTCGTTAAACAAAAAGTTATTTTATATCATTTTGTTCTGTCATCTATAAGCAAAGGAAAGGCTTTTAACGGTCTAAGCAAAAAAAAATGAAAAATTCTATTATGCTGTACAGTAATAGATCCGTGTGTCAAGTTTTGTGATAATGACGCTTTACATGACAATAATAAATCATCAAAGAAGCAAAACCCAATTAAGGAGTTCACATGCAAAGAATTAGCTAATATAGATGAGTATCGAGAGGAAAAGATCAAAATGTTTTCACATTGTTGCTTTTATAAAAGAATAATACAGAACAGTTTTAACAGTGAAGTTGTTTCCTTTTCCCCATCCATGAGAAAAAAAGATGTCTTCTCAAGAGGGCTAAAGCAAAAGCAGCCAGAATTATGAAGAAGAAAGTGGACAAAAATAATAATAAAGAAAAATAATCATAAACCATCACAGCCAAAATTCTCATAAACAGAATTCAGGAAGAGAACCAACAGAAAAAAGAACAAGATGCCAAAATAGTAATAATGAGAAGACCTGAGCAGCAAGAGTGTGAAGAAAAGTCCAAGTGGCTCTTCCAAGCTCTTCTTTAGTGATAGGAGCAGCAGAGCTTCCCTGAAAATAGCAATTAATCAAGCATGCAAAACCTTTAAAAGTCATCGAGTATGTATAGATTCACCGAGTTGATANCATAAAAATTAATTTGTTATGAGTTTGGGTCTAAGTTTGAAAAAGATTGAGTGCGGTGGTGAAGAGTGGATGCAATGGTGAAATGAAATTGGGTGTAGTGGGGATGGCTTTGATGGAGTTAGATTTTTCCCGTTGTGGGGGACGGGGAATGGGATCCCCGACCCCGCCCCGCGCCCATCCCTATCAGTTAGGCTGTTGATATTGAAGTAGCTATGGACTTTAGAGAAGTTTACTTGATTTAGAGTGTCCAATTATTTGTCACTAGAATTTTATTTTGCTAAATTATTTTGCTTTAGTGGCTCACTCCTTTATTGTTGAACTCTTGGCAGTCTTATGTTTAGAATGTAAGTTTTTACTTCCAAGCTGACTTTGTGTTGAATTTTTTTGCATATCCCTTTCTACTTATGGGAGGGCATACCTTTGAGGAAATATGAAATAGGATGCTTCAAGTTAGTTGACGAGAAGTTTTCTCTACAAGTTAATGATAGAAATGATTTGTATCCCCTTTTATTGCTTTTAATTAATTGGTAGTCTACTCTTGTCTGGTTATATTGGTTGAAATTTATACATTGATACATGTTTTATTTTCAAGAATTTCTTTCATCCTTATAGAATGGTTAATGTTGACTTCTTCATTAAAAATTGGGATTCCTATGCATATATAATTTACTTAACTTTGCTATTTGGATTTGTCTTCCATTGGCGATGATGTGGACTATGGTGCAAAGAGGTTTTTTTGGTTGTTGCACTAAGGGTTCTCCTAGAAAACTATCTTGGCAGTGATGTAAGATGAATCCCATTGCGTTTCTGTGAGTGGCACTCATACAGTGTAGGAACCACGTATCAAGCTTTATTGTTTTGATAGGTATGCTTCTTGCTGGTTGACTGATATTATCTTGTGTCTGTTTTCATCATTCTCACTTAATGCATCTTGTTTTTCTCCTTTTTGGATATCAATACCTTGATTTTTTAATCTTATATCTTTTTTCTGTGTTGAGGTATACAACCATTCTTCCCCCTTTCCTGGTATTGAGTCTGAACCATTTAAAGAAGGTGAAAACCTGGTCAGGTATTCTTTTCAGATGACTATTTAATGGCAATTTGCTAATTTGGAACTTCAAAGTTCCAACCTAAAGATCAATATGAGGTGGTAAACACAGGCAATCAATTGCATAACATTTTAAGTTTTTAATCATTAAATCAGTAAAGATTAATTGACTAAAATTTCGAACAACTGACAAATATTGTGTCTCTATTCACTTTTCTCACTTCATGTACTTTGTTTCTCTCCTTATTGGATATTGTTGTAGATAATCATGCAAAATTTTACATATATTGCATGATTAAGTGTATAAATCTATAATATTATGATTGTAATCAATACATATTAGGAACAAATCTGTAAAATAGGAAGTTAGATTATTTATTTCCTAGATTAGTTCTTTATTTTCCTATATATTGATGTATAATTTGTCAATACAATATGAAAAATATTACAATCAGTTATCTGTTTGTAACATGGTATCAGAGCAATTCTATGTTGTTTTTTTTTCAATTCGTTTTTCTTTTCTTTTCTGCCCAAGTGAGCATTATTTGTGAGTCACCTTGGAGAGTGGCCATTTTTTCTCACCGCCTGCCTAGGAAGAAGCCTTTTCTGTCGATCGACCATTCCTTGAATTCCGGTCACCGAAGGCGTAGCGCGAGTCTCACGTGCCACCTTTTTCATCTGTGTGGGCGCGTGTGACGAAGGAAAGTGCTCCGATCACCCTTCCCGGCTTCGTCTTGTTATTTCCGGCAATTCTGTGTGATTAGTTCCTCAGTATCTTAGCCAGGTCAGAACAGTTTTTTAGTTTCTGTTGGTATCAGTTTTGATTGGTTTCTGTTGGTATAAAGCGTTTTTTGAAGAGTTTTTTGTTGGCTATTTTCGTCTTCTTACCATGACTGATAAGTCTATAATTGATATGATTCCTGTAATGTCAAAAATTACGGAACATAAGCTTAATGGGTCTGATAGCTATTTTGATTGGAGTAAGACGATTCGTCTTTATCTGCGAAGCATTGGTAAAGATGATCATCTTACCAAAGATTCGTCTGAAGACGATCCAAAGCAAACATGGTTGAGAGAGGATGCCTGGTTGTTCTTGCAGATACGAAACTTCATCAATAGTGAGGTACTTGGTTTAATTAATCATTGTGAATATGTGAAGGAATTGATGGACTATCTAGATTTTTTGTATTCTGGGAAAGGGAATGTTTCTCGTATTTTTGATGTATGCAAAGCTTTTTATCGAGCTGAGAAACAAGATAGGTCTCGTATTTCGTATTTTATGGATTTTAAAAGGATATATGAAGAACTTAACATTCTTCTACCGGTGAGTGCTGATGTGAAAGTTCAACAAGCTCAACGAGAGAAAATGGCGATTATGAGTTTCCTAGCTGGACTCCCTTCTGAGTTTGAATCTGCTAAATCTAAGGTTCTTGCTAGTTCTGAGATCACCTCCCTCCAAGACATATTTACTAGGGTTCTTCGTACAGAAAGCACTCCATCTGTTCAATCGAGTAGTGCTCTTGTAAGTCAGAATCATGACACCGGAGCAATAATAGAGGAGGAGGTTCGAATTATCGTGAGAATCGGAGTCAGGAGTCAAGAGTCAGGAGGGATTGTGTGCTACTATTGTCATGAACCCAGTCATACAAAGCGCACGTGTAGAAAGTTGCAAAATAAGGTCCAGAAACCATAGTCAGAGTATGTTGCCGCTACTGATACTTCTAAGAAGAAGGTTATGATTTCAGCTGATGAGTTTGCCAAGTTTTCTCAGTATCAAGAATCATTGAAGTTCTCATCTACTTCCATCACTGCTCTCGCTAAGTCAGGTAAACCAAATACATGTCTTATTTCCCATCCTCCAAATGGGTCATTGATTCTGGTGCCACAGATCATATGACAGGTAATTCTAGTCTCTTTTCATCATATCAGTCACATAAGTCATCGTCTAATGTTATTTTAACCGATGGGTCAACTTCTTGTGTTCTTGGGTCTGGGTTTGTTAATTAACCCTACTCCGTTAATTTCCATATCCTCTGTATTGAGTCTACCACAATTCGCTTTTAATTTAATTTCTGTGAGTAAACTCACTCGTGCTCTTAAATGTTGCATCTCATTTTTCCCTGATCATTGCCTGTTTTAGGATCTTACGACGAAGCAGATTATTGGTAAAGGACATGAATCTGGAGGGCTTTACATCCTTGACACATAGGTGCCCAGAGCCATTGCATGTTCCAGTATTTCGACCCCTTTTGAGGCATATTGTTGGTTAGGACATCCTTCTTTACCATTGTTAAAGAAACTATGTCCTCAGTTTAATAAATTATCTTTGTTAGATTGTGAGTCATGTCAATTTGCCAAACATCGCCGTCTTTCTTCAAGTCCAAGAGTCAATAAACGGGCTAGTGTCCCTTTTGAATTAGTTCATTCAGATGTTTGGGGTCCATGTTCTATTACGTCTAAACCTGGATTTAAATATTTTGTTACCTTTGTTGATGATAACTCTCGTGTAACTTGGCTTTATTTAATGAAAAATCGTTCTAAGTTGTTTTCTCATTTTTGTGCCTTTTGTGCTGAAATTAAAACTCAATTTAATACTTTTGTCTAGACATTAAGAAGCGATAATGCCAAAAAATATTTTTCGAGTTCTTTTCAGTCTTATATGAGCCAGCATGACATTCTTCATCAATCCTCTTGTGTCGACACACTGTCTCAAAATGGACTAGCCGAGAGGAAAAATAGGCACCTTCTTGAAAATGCTTGAGCTCTATTATTTCAAATGCAAGTTCTTAAACAATTTTGGGCCGATGTAGTTTCCACGACTTGTTTTCTAATTAACCGCATGCCTTCCTCTATTCTGAATGGTTCTACTCCTTACAGTGTTCTTTTCCCGTCTAAGCCTTTGTTTCCTATTGCCCTAAAGATATTTGGTAGTACTTGTTTTGTTCGTGATGTTCGACCCCAGGTAACCAAGTTAGATCCCAAATCTCTTAAATGTGTTTTTCTAGGTTACTCGCCTTCAGAAGGGATATCGATGTTATTGTCCTAGTCTTAATAGATATCTGGTGTCACCTGATGTTACTTTCTTAGAAAACACCAATTTTTTTCTTACTTCGTCTACCTATACACGTCAGGGGGAGGACGATGACTTACTAATCTATACTGCCACATCCTTATCGGCTACTCCCACACCTGAGGCTTCCCCACTTACTGTTCCTCCCCCGGCACCACCACATGTCCGTCCACTACCTCTAATTCGCATTGTCTATTCTCGTCGATAGGAACCTCCTGTACCATTCCCTTCGTCGTTAGACCCAGTCTCCAGTGATCCTGATACTTGTGTTCCTCGTCAAGAAGACACTCAGACTTCATGTCCTACCCAAGATTCTTCATCGTTGGATCCAACCTTGAGTGATCTTGATCTTTCTACTGCTCTTCGGAAAGGCAAACGTCAGTGTGCTTGTCCTATCTCTTCATTTGTTTCTTATGATCACCTATCATCTTCTTCTTGTTCTTTTGTGGCATCACTAGACTCTGTCTCCCTTCCTACAACTGTTCATGAAGCCTTATCCCATCCTGGTTGGCGTGATGCTATGATAGAAGAGATGAATGCTTTAGATGTTAATGGTACTTGGAACTTAGTTGACTTACCTACGGGAAAGAAGCCTATTGGATGCAAATGGGTGTTTGCTGTTAAAGTAAATCCTGATGGGTCAGTGGCTAAGCTTAAAGCTCGTTTTGTAGCTAAAGGCTATGCTCAAACTTATGGAGTGAATTATTCTGACACTTTTTCCCCTGTGGCTAAATTGACTTCTGTTCACTTATTTATCTCTATGGCGGCTACTCATTCTTGGCCATTACATCAGTTGGACATAAAAAATACTTTTTTACATGGTGACCTTCAGGAAGAATTTTATATGGAGCAACCACCTGGATTTGTTGCTAAGGGGGAGTATGGGAAAGTTTGTCATCTTCGCAAATCGTTGTATGGTTTGAAACAGAGTCCACGTGCTTGGTTTGGAAAGTTCAGTGAGGTAGTTGCAAAGTTCGGAATGACAAAGAGCAAGTCTGATCACTCAGTCTTTTACAAACAATCGGCAGTTGGCATTCTTCTTCTTGTTGTATATGTTGATGACATTATCATCACTGAGAGTGACACTACAGGGATTTCATTACTTGAGTCATTTCTTCACACTCAGTTTCATATAAAAGATTTAGGAATGTTGAAGTATTTCTTAGGGGTTGAGGTAACAAGGAGCAAGAAAGGCATCTTCCTCTCTCAAAGGAAATATGTACTTGACTTATTAACTGAGACAGGAAAATTGAGTGCTAAGCCATGTAGTACGCCAATGTTTCCTAATTCGCAACTTACCAAAGATGGTGAACTATTTGAAGATCCTGAGAGGTATAGAAGACTGGTTGGAAAGTTGAACTATCTAACAGTCACTCGTCCTGATATTGCGTACTCTGTTAGTGTAGTAAGTCAATTCATGTCTTCTCCTACTGTTGATCATTGGGCAGCGTTAGAACAGATTCTGTGTTATCTGAAAGGAGCTCCAGGACGTGGTATTTTGTACGGAAATCATGGACATAATAATATTGAGTGCTTCTCTGATGCAGATTGGGCGGGTTCCAAGATAGATAGGAGATCCACTACAGGCTACTGTGTTTTTATTGGTGGAAATTTGGTCTCATGGAGAAGTAAGAAGCAAACTGTTGTGTCCCGATCTAGTGCAGAATCGGAATATAGGGCTATGGCCCAGTCTGTGTGTGAAGTAATATGGATATATCAGTTTTTGACTGAAGTTGGTCTTATGGCCTCTTTGCCAGCAAAATTGTGGTGTGATAACCAAGCCGCTCTTCATATTGCTTCTAATCCCGTATTTCATGAACGAACTAAGCACATTGAAATTGACTGTCATTTCATTCGTGAGAAAATACAGCAAGGTTTAATTTCTACAGGATATGTGAAGATTGAAGAGCAACTAGGAGATGTTTTCACTAAAGCTTTGAATGAGGTTCGAATTGATTATATTTGTAACAAGTTGGGCATGATTAACACTATGCTCCATCTTGAAGGGGAGTGTTGTAGATAATCATACAAAATCTTACAGATATTGCATGATTAAGTGTATAAATCTATAATATGATATTGAGATTGTAATCAATACATATTAGGAACAAATCTGTAAAATAGGAAGTTAGATTATTTATTTCCTAGATTAGTTCTTTATTTTCCTATATATTAATGTATAATTTGTCAATACAATATGAAAAATATTACAATCAGTTCTCTGTTTGTAGTTCTCTGTTTGTAGTGCTCTTGATTTTTTAATCTTTTAATCTACTTTTTGTGTCTAGGTAATATAATCATTCTTACCCTTATCCTGGTATTGAGCCTGAACCTTTTGAAAAAGGTGAATACCTGGTTAAATTATTTTTTTGGTCTCAGTTTGGGGTAGACAAAGGATGTGGGTGTTTGGAGTCTATTTGTGTCATTTGCTGGGAATAAGAAAAACTTTTTTTGCTTCTATGAGTCTGCAATTTGTATTTACCTTAGTTTCTTGTTACATTGTTTACTTCCAACCAAAATGTTGTTTCAGTTGACTTCCTGATCAAGCTAATGGTGAAGATGAAATTGTGGACCAACTATTTCAGAAGTTGTATGTTTCTACGCATCG